AGCAAGTATGCATTTTTGAGGCCAGAGAACTCAAGCCCACAATGATTTTTGATAATTGTGAATTAATAGTGAAAGAACAGTGTTTGGAAGGAAAAGGTTTTTTGCATTTTCATCCCCATTGCTGCCTCAAGTCTATTTCCTGATTGTTTCAGTATCTTGGCAATTTTAAGTGATTCTTTTCCAAACATGTGAACCAGTCCTTTTCCAATTAGCTGAACTGACTTCTGATTCTGAACAAATTGTCTGTTAATGATTCAGTTCTCACCAACATTCACTTTAACCCAGCTCCTGCTTTTACTAGCAGATCGCTACTCCTGCTGCTACCAGTTCAGTTGGGAAACCACATCACTACAATGTTTTCAGAATTGTATAGTATTCAGCAAACTGTTAGGAGGACAGACAGGTAAGTCAAGTAACCATTTATCTACATTTTTGGTTACTTGCTGCTTCATGGTAGAACCCCAAGCAGAAATAACTAGAAGTCATAATACTAATGAAAAACTAATATCTAGGATTATCTAATCTAGTGCGACAAACTATCAACCTAGCGCATCCAAAAAAATTGTCCTAATAAAATAAACTTCTCCTGAGTCTACAATGCCCAAGCAGTCCACTAAAGAACTACAGGTCATTTATATTACAGATGTGGTACACAACTCTGCAGAAACCTTCTATCCAGATAAAGTAATGCCAGAGCACAGTAGTAAAGCTTGGAAGGACCAGTCAGCCCTTTCATTAGATTGTACAACAGAGGGGACAAGTAGAAAAATGAAGCTGCAAATCCCTAATTCTAGTAAGGGAGGAGGCATGAACTTTCATACTCATAAGCAAATGTAATTTCTTTATCTGAACAGTCTCCAGAAAAATCTCTGCTACTGTAGAAACTTCATACTTCACTGAGTCACAATAACTGTATCAGCTATTAAGTATTTTTTCCAGAATTGTAAAAGGTCTCTGGAAATTATTATTTTTTTTAATAAAATTTGTTGTATTTCCATGTTTCTGGAATAATTTTAAAGCATTATTGAACCTCATTTTACAACTAAATGCATTACCTTAAGTATTATTCAGTTACATGAAAATAATCTACTTGCATCTGAGTTCAAGTATCACATTATCAGTTTAGAAAAACATGTTTTTCATTTAACATTCTTCTTGCATTTGAAATAGATTATATTACATTACCTATCTAGATAATTCAGGTTCACATAAAATAATTAAAAATGTTTCATCCACAAGTCTAGCTCTTCTTCAATCTAATGAGAAAAATTAAGGTTTCAACCTTTCTACTACTTTTGTAACTGTTGCAAAACCAAAGCCTGATAACACAATGCCAACCTCCCCGGTCCCCGCCCAAAAGCAAGTCCTTACTACTGGCAACCCAGACAAGCTTGTGCTCAACATCAAAACCTACCCCTGCACTAGCCATTATACCTAAAATGTAGCTTCCTAAAGATTAGTTTCATGCACTTTTCTATTAGTCATCTAATTTTTTTTTCAAACTAGAAAGATGGAAAAAATGTTGAGTCTTTTTTTCAGATCACTGTAGAACATCTATTGCAGCAACTAATCCTGCAAGAAAAATTGGCTAGTATGAGCTACAGCTGCTAGGCAGCTCTGTTGAAATCATCTGGCCTATAAACAGGCAGGGAGAGATTATTGACAGGAGGTATGGCCTTAAGGCTCCTTCTGTTCCATCACCCAGCATTAATACACCCTTTGTACTGATGTGAAAGGGACTGCCAACTCTTTTCCAGCCTCCCACCACCATGCACGTAGGCTACGGTATTGAGACACTCAGGTGAACTGACTTCAGCCTTGATTTTTGCCTGTGATAAGAACAATTCTTTAGCCCTTAGAAACATATAGTACTGCTGTGGATTCAGATAGCATTTGAACTGTTACCTATGGAAATACTATTTGCAATAAAAAGCAAAATATACCATGCCCAGCTTCTAAAGTAAACGAAAACTACCATGAGACAACATTTCTTGCAGATAGTGTCATTTACACAAGATCCTACTACCTCTTGTACTCCTCAAAGATAAGCTTCTGTATTTCTAGAAATTGTTAGGAATCCTCAGGACTAGACTGATTGAGTCTACATTTTGATTTCAAAGAATCTTCAAAGCCATCAACAGATGGCTCTGGAAGGTTTTACCTTGTCACTTACACCTGAATGGAAGAACACTCCCTTTAATACAGTAAAGGTGTGCAAGTTTTTTCTATTGCTTTAGAAACCTCTTCTCGGTTGGTCAGGGTTTTTTTAAGACTGGGAAAGTTTAGTTTTAATGGCCAGAAGACCAATTTTTCTTTCTTTTTTGCATGACAGCTACTGAGTACAGATCACTGGAGTCATCATTCTTTTCCTGGTAAAGATCCTACAGCACAAGAGCAAATTTTGATTCTCAGAAAGTCTCTGATCTGCAGAAGTCCCATCAACAGCTCAGCTTAAGATCCTCCTATGTTAGTCCCCTCAACAGACACACATCAACAGCATGCATTGAGAGAAGATATGGAGGGGAATGTAAAGACGATGACACATATAATTTGTCTTAATTTTTAGTGAAAATATTTAATTACATGAAACAAGAAATGAAAAATACGATTTTGGCCTTCAGACAACAGAGTTTAAATCCTGTGTTAAATCACAGTACTCTGCCTGAAATAGACTTTTCACTGTGATCTATTATCAAGCTTGATTTTAGCTCCATTTTCAAAAGTGAAAAAGAGATCCTTTGTTTTATTTTACTTTCAAGTGGTGCATGCCACATGTGAACATGTGCGTACATATTCACGTATATATAAACATATACATATATGTAATATGGAATGCCTTGGTCTTAGTTTTGATCCTAGCAGAGACCACTAAAACATTTATTTATGAAATGGACAATATTTTTAATGGGAGAAATGATTTATTTCACTGACTTTGAAACAGCTAACAGTCTTTTACCTGTGAAAGATGAGACTCCTGGTGGGAGGGAACACTATAGCAGCCAAACAAACATCACAGAGTCACAGAATGGTTGGGGTTGGAAGGGACCTCTGGAGATCATCTGGTCCAACCCCTCTTGCTGAAGCAAGTTGTACAGGATCGCATCCAGGCGGGTTTTGAATATCTCCAGAGAAGGAGACTCCACAACCTCTCTGGGCAGCCTGTGCCAGGGCTGTCACCTTCAAAGTACAGAAGTTCTTCCTCATGTTCAGATAGAACTTCCTGAGTTTCAGTTTGTGCCCATTGCCCCTTAACCTGTCGCTGGGCACCACTTGAAAGAGTCTGGCCCCATCCTGTTGACACCCACGCTTAAGGTATTTATAAGCATTGCTGAGATCCCCTCTCAGTCTTCTCTTCTCCAGGCTGAACAGACCCAGTTCCCTCAGCCTTTCCTCATCAGGGAGATGCTCCAGTCCCCTCATCATCTCCATTGCCCTCCACTGGACTCTCTCCAATAGTCCCTTGTCTTTCTTGAACTGGGCAGCCCAGAACTGGACACAGCACTCCAGATGCGGCCTCACCAGGGCAGAGCAGAGAGGGAGGAGAACCTTCCTCGACCCGATGGCCACACTCCTCCTCATGCATCCCATGCTACCATTGGCCTTCTTGGCCATGAGGGCACATTGCTGGCTCAGGGGCAACTTGTCTGCCAGCACTTCCAGGTCCTCCTACGCTGGGTTGCTCTCCGGCAGGTTTACCCCAGCCTGTACTGATGTGTGGGGTTATTCCTCCCCAGGTGCAGGACCCTACACATCAGGTTCCTCTCTGCCCAACTCTCCAGCCCGTCCAGGTCTCGCTGAATGGCAGCGCAGCCTTCTGGTGTATTAGCCACCCCTCCCAGTTTTGTACCATCAGCAAACTTGCTGAGCGTACACTCTGTCCCTTCATCCAGGTCCTTGATGAAGAAGTTGAACAAGGCTAGACTCAGAACTGACCCCTGGAAAACACCACCAGCTACAGGCCTCCAATTAAGAGTCTGCACCGCTGGTCACAACCCTCTGAGCATTGCCATTCAGCCAGTTCTCCGTCCACCTCACTGTTTACTCATCAAGCCCCCACTTCCTGAGCTTACCTATGAAGATGTTCTGGGAGACAGTGTCAAAAGCCTTGCTGAACACAAGGTAGACAACATTCACTGCTCTCCCCTCAACTACCCAGCCATCGTAGAAGGTTATCAGATTGGTCAAGCATGATTTCCCCTTGGTGAATCCGTGTTGCCTATTCCTGATAACCTTCTTGTCCTCCACCTGCTTAGAGGTGACATCCAGAATGAGCTGTTCCATCACCTTTCCAGGGATGGAGGGGAGGCTGACTGGCCTGTAATTTCCTGGGTCCTCCTTCTTGCCCATAACCATTTTTATAATAATTTTTTTTCCTAACAGATCACAAGTTTCCAGATGATGGGCCCCATGGTTCAAGAGTTACAGTGCAAATACTACAGAGTAAGATTCTCCCGTTAGAGCTGAAACCACTTTATACTTAAGAGAATCAAAATAGAACAACGAACAAGTAGTATAATGCAGAGTTACCTCAACTCAATACAAAAACTCAAGGAGTATAACCACAGTGGAAATCTGTGTTTATGCCAGCATAATCAGATATGACCTGTGGAAGCACTTTTTAATTAAAATAGGAGTTACAGTACGTTGCATAAGGACATGGAAACAAGCTTGTTATATCAGCTTTCTTTTTCACTTCAATTAGGTGATAATGTAAAACAGTTTTACTACTTTCAGTGCATTTTTCAAGCTCACTGAATAAAGCAGAAGAACTTTTCCTGTTCAGAAAAGGAACGTCATTGTTGGAATGTAAAGCCAAGGAATAAGATTCACATTTATGGAATATTTTCAGAAGAGCATACAAGACATGAATCTCATTTTAACACATGGACAATAAAGAAAAATACATATGGTCAGATATTGTTAGCTGTCTTCCAAAGCACTTTTAGGACTTCTCAAATTTCACACTGCATTAATAAAATATCAGTAAGCTTAGTACTTACCCACAGAGGCATAATCATTTGGAAGCTCAGGATAAAGTTTGTTTGTATTCTTTTTAGCTGAAAAAGAAAATCAAGTAGCAAGTTATATAATATACTAACATATATTTTTATATATCACATACTGCTTTTCTAATACATATTCAATAGTTATAAAATGATTGCAGTTATCTAAGGAGCAGTACAAAGGAAAGAAATAAAGACTTTGCCTTATATCCTTGTCCAGAGAAATAAATCAAGTTAACAACAGGAGCTGCACAGTAAAGCCTTACTTTCAATGAAAGCACTTTGGTAGACAACCTGTTATAGACACAAAACTTTGTCTGCTCTGCTCTTCTGTAAGACCTGTGCCTATTAAAAGATAATGACAACCTAAAAGAGAAACTAAGTTTTCTAGAAATCAGAAGTTTCTAGAAGTAAGACTAGCAGTTTCTACTAGGGCTGTTCTTTTTACTAAGAAATTTCATTGTACCATGGGGCTTCTACATATCCAATAAACATGAATGCTTCCTTTGAACTATTACATGCTTCTGTAACTATACAAACACTATTTCTATAACAAATCTGCCAGAGAGAAAAGGTTTAATATAAAACAAACAAACAAAACCTTTACCCTTTATTGCTCATGGCACTATCCCAACATGCTGGGAAACAGTGTTTGCCCAAGAAAGAGTATTAACAAAATATTTTTATAGAGACAGCTACTACTATAATAATTGCATAACATTCATTAGCTTTAATGATCTAATTTTATATAGAGAATAAATTGATCATTATCAAAATGTTTTTAACCTGGTGGTGTTGGTCTAACAGTGGGTTTAGGTGGCTCTGGTCTTGATGATGGTCTAGCAGGTGGGTCATTTACCTAAAATGTACAAATTTTTATAAAAAGGTACATCACACCTGGAAGTAGATCATAAATTCAGAGCCTAGAAGTGTGTCAAGTTACACTGAAAAAAAAATAAGTCACGCTTTCTCAACTGAAATTGTATGAACTTGAGAAGCACACTAAAGAACTAGTGACATACACATGGCTGTAAAGCAATTCACCGTGGGTTTAACAAAGATGAAAGTAAATGATTGTCTATCAGTAACAACAAGAAAACACCTTCTACAGTCTTAGTATTAATTGTAAATGTGACTGAATGGAAGACAGAAAAAGTAGAAAAATGGAGTATCCACATCAAACCTGGTAACTCCTTATTTGCAGATTACCTTGATTAGGAATAGTTGAACAAACTTTTCTAATCATTACCTCAGATTTGATTGTGGACTGTTATAATAAACAAGGACATACTTTGTTATTCTGGAGGATGCAAAGCAAAACCAGCAATGTTCTTGTCCAGAAGAGCCTACCAGGGCTATACTTGAATGAATGGATTGCTCACATGCAGTAAATGCAACGTGTAATGCCTTTAAGCATCCAACAGGGAAGTTAAGAATGCCACATGAACATCAACATTACCACTGACTAGGAACAGTTCAGGAACAGAAAAAGCCTATGTGAAAAAGAGATGCACAAACCCTTCTTTGTTCCCTTACAGCTTTTCCTGGATTATTTTTTTGCTCTTCATTTTCATATACTTCAGTGAAGGATGCTAGAGTTTCATAAAGATCTTCTGCTTGAGCAGGAAAAGGCACATCACCAAGCAAGATGGCACTAGCACGAATATCCTGCCCATAAAACCTGATACAAAAGAAAAGATGTCAGGTATTTGATCATCATCACATTTCAATGTCTAGATAAATTCACCTTGCGCAAATGTTCCGCCCCCCTGCACCTGGCCCTGCATTTCTCCTACTGATCATCTATTGAGAAAAGACAGAACTAGTTCAATGCTGTAAGTTTGGAATGATAAGTAATTGTAGCAAACTTGAATGCCTACCTACCACCTAATTTCAAAATATTCTTCATTAGTAATATTTTGTTCCTGGTCACACAGTATGCATCAGCTAGACAATTTCAAAGCCAATCACATAGTAAACTGAAGAAACACACACTGCTTTCACAAAACACTGCAATAGATTCCTTAATGATGTAATAAAATTCCTTAACGGAAACACTGGAACCTCAATTTTATGAATGGAGAGAGCTAAAAGTTACTGACATGCTGTCATTAAAATCAGCCTTAGTCTTTGCTGATACTAGCAGAATTAAAGTTTTCATAAACACAGAACCTACAAGTGCAAGACACTCAGAGGTTCCTTGGATTTTAAACTTAATAGGCTGCACAAAGGAAGCAGCATTCCATAAGCTGGGTATTTTCTCAAATTCAGTGATGGTCTAAACCAGATTTTTTTTTGTTTGTTTCAAGTGGTCTAAAAGAATATTTCTCATTATGCAGTAATACCTCAATACCTATCTTCTACAATATTGTGCTGGGCTTAGATTGAAAGGTTTTGGTAAGAGGTGGGGCTGCAGGGGTGGCTTCTGTGAGAAGCTGCCAGAAGCTTTCCCCATGTCCGATGGAGCCAATGCCAGCTGGCTCCAAGACGGACCCACTGCTGGCCAAGGTCCAGCCCATCAGCGACAAGGGTAGCAACTCTGGGACAACCGAGTTAAGAAGAGGGGAAAAAAAAACTGTGCAACTGCTGTTGGAGAGAGGAGGGAGAATGTGTGAGAGGAGCATCCCTGCATCCCCCCACGTGAGTGCAGCAGGAGGAGGAGGTGCTGCAGGCCTGGAGCAGAGATTCCCCTCCAGTCCCTGGTGCAGCCCACGGTGAGGCTGGCTGTCCCCTGGCAGCCCAGGGAGGCCCACGCTGGAGCAGGGGGATGCCTGAAGGAGGCTGGGACCCTGTGGGAAGCCCACGCTGGAGCAGGCTCCTGGCAGGGCCTGTGGCCCCGTGGAGAGAGGAGCCCAGGCTGGAGCAGCTTTGCTGGGCGGGCTTGTGACCCCGCAGGGGACCCAGGCTGGAGCCATCTGTGCCTGAAGGGCTGCACCCCGGGGAAGGGACCCACGCTGGAGCCGTGCATGAAGAACTGCAGCCCGTGGGAAGGACTCACGTTGGAGAAGTCCATGGAGGACTGTCTCCTGTGGGAAGGACCCCACACTGGAGCAGGGGAAGAGTGTGAGGAGGAAGGAGCGGCAGAGACAACGAGTGATGAACTGACTGCAATCTCCATTCCCCGTCCCTCTGTGTTGCTCAGAGGGAGGAGGGAGAGAAGCTGGGAGTGAAGTTGAGTCCAGGAAGATGGGAGGGGTGGGGGGGAAGGTGGCATTTTTTTAGATTTGGTTTTATTTCTCATTATCCTACTCTCTTATTAACTGGGAATAAATTAAATTAATTTCCCCAAGTTGAGGTTTTTTTTTGCCAGAGACAGTAATTGGTAAGCGATCTTTTTGCCTTTATCTCAACTTATGAGCCTTTCCTCATATTTTTTCTCCTCCCATTCTGTCAAGGAGGGGGAGTACAAAGCAGCTTGGTTGGCATCTAGTGGCTAGCCAAGGTCAACCCACCACAGATACATAATCTCTAAATATTCAGCATCATCTCAATATCCATTCCAAGGTGTCTAAATTGAAGAAATCCTTGCCCCTCAGGAAATTCTAACCTCAGCACAGTATGTTCTCACAACAAACTCTTTTTCCAAACTGAATGTGTCCTAGTTCATCCTGTCACTATGCATTTACTGAATCTTCTAGATTTGAAGAGCACTTACTTGCGATTTGTTTCTTTCCTTTCAATTAAACAGGTTCCTTCCAGAGATACACCTGCAAACAGTCCTCGAGATTTGCAGTATGTATAGACAGCAGCAGAGCTTCTCAGGGCAACATCCCCTTCTAAGTTTCTAGAAGGAAAAAAGTTTTAGTTGACATTCTTCAACATGGCTTTGCAATATGAACTGCAATTGTCTTTTTATTTTAATCCTACCAAAAGTCAGCAAGAGTTTCACTTCCCTCTGTTCCTACAAATGCTATTGAATATATTCAAGTGGGTGAGACTTGAAATCCATTTTCACATCTTATTTCAGACAGGACCCAGTACAAAGTAATTAAGTTGTTTGATAAGGTTTCCTCTGAAGCATAGTAGAAAATTGCCTCATGTGAATGCTCCATGTTAGACCTCCTCTGCATTCAGAAGTCTGAAAAATGATTAACCCATGTTTCAAGCATTTTTAAAAATTATCTGATTGTTGTTTGTGGTGCTTGGAACTCTATTCAATACATCCAAATCCTCCTTGATTTTGTGGTGCCCAAAACAGCACAAAGTATTTCAAGTAAGGCCTTATCAGACCTCAAGAGAATTGGAAGATTACAATTTTTGTCCTACCCAGGATCACATAATATTTTAGGTTTCAAGATGCCTCAGGCAGTCAGTCAGTCCAGCCTCCTACTGAAAATGGATACAACATCAAATTGAGATCAGAGTTCTCTGGGCTTTGTCTAGCCAGTTTTTGAAGACTTCCAAGGATACAGATTCCACAGACACTCTGAGTAACCTGTGTCAGTGCTCAATTATACTCATGTTGAAAATCTCATATCCACTCAGAATCTTCCTTGTTTCAATTTATGACTACCATTTCTCACTGTCTTGCCATGCACCTCTGTAAAGAACTAGGGTCTGTCTTCTTGGTGATCCCCTGTTGGGAACACAGCCTCTTAGAAGACGTCAAGGTCTTCTCTCCTCTAGGTTAAATAAGCTGAGCTCCCCTAGCCTTGACATAGACAGCTAAAGAAAGAGCATTGTTTAAGACCACTCAAACCCGACCAAGAAGTATTATTTGAGTTGCTCAACAGTAAAGAAACACCCGTATCAACAGGAATGTCTGTGTACATCTGATCACAAGTTGTTTAACCATGCCAGCAAGATGTGAGTTAATCCTTGAGTCATGTCCTTAGGTGATTTATAACCATAAAAGGTTAAAATGAGAAAGGGGTTATTCCCCAAACGACCACCAGAGACCCTCTGAAGACCATTCCCCAAATTGTACGCGCGTGCTCGACTATAAAATATACTGCTTTGCCTATGTAAATGATTTCTGGGAAGGGGAGGAGAATTCCTGGAATTCACATAAATATGTATGATTTGTATAGATAAAAAATAGCTTTGAAACTTCGCGTGTGTCAGGAGGAGGAGTGATCCCCCGTGCGCCCTGGGCTGAAATAAAGTAATGTCTGCTTTCTAATACTAAAATTATAGTGTTAGAGAGTTTTGTTTTTCCCGAAGTTTCAGTGGCAGCCTTATTGTTCACGTGCTCCATGTCCCTGGCCATCTTGGTAGCCGTTTACTGCACGCACTCAAGTTTATAAATATCTTTCTCACACTGCAGGGCCAAAACTGGACACAACATTCTAGGCACAGTCTACAAAGTGATAAGAGGAAAAATCACGTCCCTTACTCACTGGTTACAGCTTTGTGGATGCAGCCCCTAGACTGTTTGCTGCCTTTTCTGTCAGGATGCACTGCTGGCTCAGCTTACGGTCCACCAGGACCCCGCCATCTTCTCAACAGGGCAGCTATCCAGCCTGGCAGGCTCTGCCTACGTAACTGCAGAGGTGCAGAACTTAGCATTTGTCCTTGTTTAATTTCATGAGGTTTCCTGTTGGATCTTTCCTCCACACTCTCTAGGTCCACCACTCTGAATGGCAGCCCTACTCTGAAGTGTACTGGCTGCATCCTCTGATTTGGTGTCATCCACAAACTTAAAGACGCTATTTTGCATCTGCTCCTCCAGGTCAGTGATAAAAATATCAAGCAGGAGAGGTCCCAGAAGAGCCTCCTGAGAAATTCCACAGAAACCTGTTTGCTAAGTACAACATGAATCATTTACCACTATCATTCAAGCCTGATGATCTGTTTTTTCGCCTATTCGCTAGTCTGCCCCACCCTGACACCGAGGCCACAATGTCCCAGTTTGAACACAGAGAAGCTGCAGGACAGCATACTGAAAGCCTTCACAAGGCAGATGACATTCGCTGCCCTCCCCCGATCCACAGATCTCTTTCATCTGTGGAACAGGTATCATCCTTTTATTTTGTCAGAAAAGATGAAAAACCATCAGTAAGAACTTCACCATCATCAAAAAAAAAGGCATAAGGAGGCACATGCCCCATGAGCAGAGTCTGAGGCAACCGGGCTTGGTAAGCCTGGAGAAGAGAAGACTTAGGGGGAACCTAACAGCAGCCTTCAAGTATCTATGAAGAGGCAATCAAGAATATGAAGCCAGGATCTTTCTAGCAGTGTATCGTGGTAGGATAAAAAGCTATGGACACAAGTTGAAACAATAAATGTTTTGACTGGATGTAACGCAAAACTTTTCACCATGAGGACAGTTGAACAGTAGAGCAGGTTGTCCAAAGAGCCTCAGCAGTCTCCACCTTTGGAGGTTTTCAAGACCCTACTGGAATAAAGGCCTGAGCAACCGGATCTGAAGTCATAACAGACCTTGCTTTTAGCAGGAGGTTGGAGTAGAGACCTTGTAAGGTCCCTTCCCAGTTAAATTATTCTGGGATTATATCGTCTCATCCTTCAAAGTAAGCTGGCTTAACCACTTAAGGTTTAAAACTAATTATTTGGTGTATTTTTTTATCTACTGTCAGGCAGATCTGTGGTGACAGAAAGCATAGACCAATAGGTGAATGAAAATAATAGGACAGTCAGGCACAGTAGCACCTGTGCTCTTTATTAAGGCTAGCCAAGCAATCTCCTGCAAAAAGAGAATAAATCTCAGAACACTTTCCTTCTACCAATAAATGCCTTTATCAGGAAAGAAGGAAAAAAAAAAAAAAAAAAAAAAGAGCAACAAGTGACTAAAAAGGCATAACACTACAAGAACAATATTTTCCAGTCGACACACAGGTTGCCCAGGTTGTTTCGTAACATATCAAAAAGCCACATCTATATTTATATATAGCTTTAAAAACTATCTTCCATCTTTAATTCTGCCCCATATTTAAATCTACCCCATATTAGGAAAGTATTTTACTCACCTCCCCAGAGGTCCAATTGCCACAGTAAGATTTCCTCCAAGTGTAAGATTTCCTCCTTTGGCAAAAGCTTCTACTGCTCTTTCATGATTCAATATAATCACTAAGTCTGAAACCTATAAAATATCAAATAAGAGTACTATGCTTTTTAAGAAGAAAGTTAAAATGGCACAGGACAAGTATCTTCCATTTTGCAGGAAAACAGGTGGGAGTATCAAAGATATTCCCTTCTGCAAATGAAAACTAGCTCCAGATTTATCAAGGTGATATACAAGTGAGAATCTCTCCTTCTCTCAGAGAATTACTTCCTTTCTTGTAAAGGATTCTTTTAAAACAGTTTTTATAACAAAGTTGATTATTTTTCTGCAAGGTATTCTGAAACTAAAAATCCTTTCACCTAGTTTTTTAATCAAATTTGACTGATTTTTTTTCCAAGTGCTGATATGGTCAGTATGTGGTAAACAACAGCTGTAACAGTTGTTATTTTAATTCAAAATTTCCGAATCAACAAATTTTTATTTTCTATGGCTTTTGCAAACAATTATGTGAAGGCATTTTCAGATGTGAAGAGAGATCAGATTAAGAAAATAATTTTGATCCTTCCATAATTGAATTAATAACAAGAAGACAGAACTTAGTAAACAAAAATTGCGGTCCAAAGAAAAAACAGCAAAAAGGATACAGACTTTCCTGTTATTGACAAAATTTTAGTTTCTTGACAGAAAATTGGGAGTTTAATATATATATAGTGCATATATATATATATGAATTAATATTTAATTTTTTAAGACTTGAGAAGATGAGATGTAGCCAGTTTCTTCAACAAACTATTACACCAAATAACTGAAGAGCTAACAAAGTATTTTTGAAAGATTTAAACGCAAAATGGAAAAAACCCAAAATCACTATTTTAAAAAGATTTTATTTGCCTGGATTGTGACACAAAATGCACATATCGAAGAACTTCTACTACTGTTTGATGCTTATTACCATCAGTAATGTAAAATTATAACTCTCTTTGATTTAACAAATTTCAGTAAAAGTCCCCTACAACTCTCTTTCCCAAACCAGGAAGCATTTTATAGGAGGAAAAAAAAAAACAAAACTTTCAAACACATGCATGATCCTATAAAGATCACTATCTTACCTGAAAGCTCAGTAAACATACTACATGTATTAAAAAAACCCCTCCAACACAGCAGCAGTACCAGCCTGTTTAACAGAGCAGGTTACACTTTTGTAGCTTACTGTGATGGATTATCTTTTCAACAGATATCTTGACTACCCAAGGACTACTGTGCCTGATCTTTCATCTGATGGACTTCACTGAAAGCCAGGTTCAGAAAAAACTTTCAACTTACCCAAATTCCAAACAGTGACAGCAAGGAATACAAGAGGAAATACCAGATTATTTGCAAAACAAGGCTAGCCCAGAAGTATTACACACAGCGTAAGAGGCGCCTTTGTTATCAGCCTCCTGGTAACCTCCACCCCAGCCCAAACAAAAGATGGCTGACATGAGTAGTTTCTCTCTGTATCCCTGGATGATTCAAAATACCATTCAGGATGCTGCTGCCTCCTCTTACCCATTAAGAGGATGAATCCACAACTAAAGTTAAATGAATTCATAGTGAGAAAACCTTCAAGGAAAGCATTTAGGTGAATTTTAAAATTGGTCTTTAATTTGAGGTACCAAGTTGTTTACTATCACTTCCGAAGTCTGTGATTTCCTTATGGGTAGTTTTAGGTAACAAGAAGTACCACTACAACTATGCCAACTATAATCTCTCCTACAGGAATAAAATTCAACCAATTTCTACAAGGTTTAAGTTTATATATGACTAAAAGCATGCTGAAATTGGACTCTGGGCTCCTAACCCACTTAGGTATTTCTGAATACCATCTCTTCTCTAGAAGAAGTAAGAAAGATTGTGTTATAAAAATGCCAGTAAGGAAACAGTATTTTTGTAAGCTGACTAAAATTTCAAATGAAGGGCACAATATTGCTCAGAAAAAACACCCTCTCAGAAATAGCTTCTGTATTGAAATTATTTGAGTATCAATAGTAAATGGTTACATTATCTAAAATATCAGATGGAGCTGGTTAAAGGAAAAGCTTGATAGATTAATCAAAGCATGTGAACAATCTGTTTCATTATCATAAAAGCAAATAAACCCCACAACAAACTCTGTGGCTCAAACTCCATGTTTTGTAATGCATTCAGATCCTGTAGTCATGAAAGCCAAAGAAAAACCCTTATGAACATTAGTAATTTTGTATTCACATCATTCTTTAAAAAGTGCACAGCAGTAACGCCTGAGATCACACAGTGAACAATGAGGATACAATAAAATATCGATCCATTGCTCATTGTGTGAGTGCTGGCTGACTGGTTGTCAGGGCAAGGGTAGCTGTTTAGTTGTGGGAGACACACTGCAGGCTGGCGTGAACCATCCAGATCAGCTATGCATGGATTCTTCTGAAGAGCAGAACACCCACAGCAAGGGATCTTGTTGAGAGCACACTGTTACCTTAATTTTCTTTGGGAATCAGCAAAACAGAAGTGAAACAGAAAGAAAAAAAAGGACAGGACTGGAGGCTAGGGTGGGAAAGAGGAGGAAAGACGGAAACAAACAAGGGTGAAGGAGCTATGAGGAAGAAGAGATGGGAAGCAGAGACAGAGCGCTGTCAGGGCTCAGATCAACAGCATTTCTCTGAACATGCTGAGAGTTCCTTACTTAACCATTTCTGCTGGCTGGAAATTGGCTCATTTTCTGTCGCATTCCTTCAGGGGAGACACCATCACTTTTGATGCTCCCAAACTGAAAGGTGAAGTCAGTAATCACAAGTTTGAATGGGAAATGCATGAAGTACAGTAACATTAGCTAGGCTCCATTTTACTCCACCTTCAATTTCTTTCACTGTTTCCTGCCAGATGGAGTCCTTGTGCTCTTTAACAAAGCATTTGATACAGTATTAAGTATAGGATACTTTTAATTAACATCAATTGGCTTATATGTGAACACTGATGGGAAGCTTTCCATAAGGGAAAAATTCAGTCTGCTAGAAGTAAGAAATTGAGGAAACAGTTGTCGTGTCACTTCTTTTCATTTAAATCTCTCCAAGCAATTAGACTAATAGGATCAAAACCCCTATTTTGTTCGTCTGGTATAAATGAATTTTATAAGAGCATTTTTACACAGAAAAATAAATTCTATTTTCTCACTTACATTTAGATCTTTGTCAATGCATTTTAATTTCTTGCAAAAAAAAGTTACCCACAAGTATTTCAAATGCAAAATTATACCTCAATTCCAATTTCAAATCCACCACCAAGGCCAGCAATTCCTATTGCAGAAGGAGCAGACCAGGCTGTCATGCAAAACAAGACAAATTTACAGAATTTTTACATGTTACAAGAAATACTAATTTTATTATTACAGTTAAAAACTCTAACAAATTCTTTATTTAAAACTATGTTCAAAACCACTACAATGGAATCACATAACTATACTGGTTTGTCCCACAGAAAGTAATTTAAGAAATACAAACTCTCAAGATCTAAACAAATCTGTTACAAATTATTTATCATACAGTTGTCCATAATTGGATATAATCCATTCTTCTAATGAGTTTTAAACTATATGCTTTTATATTTTATTCTTTTCTACAAAGATACTGAAAGCATTTACATCTGGTCAAAAGTAGGTACAAAATTTTGAAAACAGCTTTTGAAACAAACATCGTCACCCACTGGCTTGACTCCACACACATCTTGTGTTTTATGCTATGAAAAGAAATAACAAAGAAGAAAAAATTTTTTTCTTTCAATTTTCCCATGAAGTACAAAAAGAAAATATCTACTTACTTCCATTAGAAAGACGAGCTAATACAATTCCACTTCCGCCTCGAGCAGTCACCAAAAATCCAGCTTTGATAACGGACAAAACTGCAAGGCCTTTGGCTTTAGCTATTACATGAGCTGAAACAACAAAATCATTTATTCAAGAGCTTGTAAAAGAAGTTCTAAGAGAAGGGGAAAATAAAACTCTACATATAACAATTTTGAACACATAAGAGTCAAATAATCAAAGCAAAAGCTTAAAGAAATTTGCAAAAAAGCTGAACTGATAACGATACCTCCAACTCCACAGTCAACCACGAAGCTAGTCACAGGTCACATTAGCCTGCACTGATCTCTACACTGCCACAACTGCTTCACCTATCCCAGTTAGCCTATACAGAATTAGTTTGCTTATTGCCACATTGTGTGAGTACCCTTAGCAAGTTAAAGAGGCAGTGAATAGTTGACATCCACGTCTCTACAGCTTTTTGGAGGAGAAGAGTCTGAATTCAAATCTCAGCGACCAATAGCAGTCTAATCAGCTTATATCATTAGACAGTATTTGTGGCAAATAAAGTGTCATCAACCTGCAAGACATTCTGGAACATAATGGCTATAAATTCAAACCACAACTACCAACACCAGATGAAGGAAGACTCTAGGAGAAACACAGAATAACAATTGCAAAAATAAAAGAGGACAGCAGCAAATAAGCGTGCATAGTCAGTATCAAAGGAGAAATGCACCCTGATCTCTTTCCTTCAACTTATTATTATCTAGCTAATTGTAATAAACACAGATATTCAAGAACTAGAGCTACTATTCCAGGTTCTCCCTTAAGAACAGACATTCACAGGGTGAGCATGAGACTGTTCATCCATCCCAGAGGGAAGACCTCCTGTGCAGACACCCTCCAGTTGTAAACACACAAAAGATCTCTCCCAGTAAGTAATGTCTGCCTAGAATACAGCAACCTGAACCTCCTTACTTCCAAAATGTTTTCACAAAAGTTATGGCACTCTAGATCTTCATTCCTCTCTAAGTTATGGTCAGTGAAAACAGAGGGAATTCAGAAAGAGAGCATGATTGCAACACAGGGGAGTGCTGAAGGTTTTAGCTGAATCAAAAGATTTTCTTTACTCACGAGGTATGATTTTATCAGGTCCATTTCTGGAAGTTATTTCTGTAAATTCTCGTAATATTTTAGCTGCCTTTTTAGCTTCTGACTTCAGGTTGGAAGGTATAGGGTTATTCACTGTAAAACATGAAAAAAATAAGAAATTATATCTATGGTCAGCTCAAGATAGCTCATATAAAAATAAACCAGTGTAATTTGTATGGGAAAAGTAATTATTTACAAATAGAGAGTAAACCAAACAAACAGGTAAACAGCAAATATAAGAAATTATCTTCTGCATCAGACCCACATTTTGTCTCTGATGATTGTAATGGAAGACATCACTTAGGTAGAGCACACTAGCCTGGTTCTTTTCTGCAATTTGTTCCCCTTGTAATTCCTCAGAATCTACATTGGTAACAGCAGGGATGTTGGAGATACATCCTCAGTTGTTCCTGTCACTATTGATTTATGGGCTCATTGCATATGAATTTGTCTAATACCTTTTCAAACCTGCTGATACTCTTTGCCTCCTGAACTCCCACAGCAGCAGTTCACTACCTGCTACTTAAAGAAATATTTGATCTATTTTAAATTAATCTACTAGTTACAGTGAATGCCTGCTAATTCAAGTCTCATGAATTCTGCTGAACAACTACTACATTCAACTTATCCACTACCTTCATGCTTTTATAAATAGCCACAGCCCCCCAGCCTTCTCCACTTCTTCAAGAATCCCAGCCTTCTTAGTCTCTCCTCATGGTAGTTGCTCCATCACTCTGATCACTCTAATTGCTCTGCTCTACCACCACCTCTGCTGTCCTTCAAACTGGCAACTGTTGACCAATGAACACTGAAAGGTTAACATCTCTTCAGGAGATTTCTCTTACAGAGCTAAACTTGCAGCATGTTCTGAAAATGGACAAAATTCTGTTTCGGACCAAGAAATTTCCTTTAGAAATCTACTTTTGGTGGAAGCACTTATCAAAATTTTCTCTCCAATGTGATCCAACGCAAGCACCTCTTTAGATTTCAACTGAGGGAAAAGCAGGGATTAGGGATAGATTATGTTTGCTTTATAAAGCTGTAGACTACAGTAGCAATCACAAAAAAATCTTGAAATTTACCCACCAAATCCATGAGATCATAAATGCTACAGAAGAGTGTTAATTCCATTTAGATCTACCAGATCTACTGTTATTAATCAACTACAGAACAGAATCAGGTACTACAAAATATTAATATTCTGGAACAGTATAAATACCACTTTATGTATGAATAGTAAAGTTTCATCTGTAGATTTGCAAAAAGAGGCCTTAGGGCAGATGAAAAGATATGAGTTAGTCTTGATTCTTACATCTACCCAAACCCCTCAAAGCTATCACTTAAATTATTCTAGTTTTCTAGTCTGGACATATCAACACCCACCATTTCCAAGTTTATGAGCAACAAATTGTCCCAGTAATACACGAATATATTGTTTCTGAGAGGAACTAGGGACAGTATTTGCATAAAATTCCACTGTTCTTAAATTCACAAAAGCATAGAAAAGACCATGCATAGAGAAACAACTTTCAGTCAAAAGGGGCCTAGTTTTTTTAAAATTGGTGTTCCCTGAACGTTCATTCACCTCTTCAGTCTCGGCAACACTCCCACGCAAAACCATGAAGGTGAGGACTAAATACATTTTGAGATTAGATCAATGAAGCTCGGAGAGCAATTCAGCTCAGACTAAGTGAAATGCCTAGCGGCAAGTCAGCCAAGTCTCTGTCCAGGCTCCATTCACTAGAATAGGAATTACCCCTCTACTTTTCAAAGTGAACTATATTCCTCTAGCATGTTCTCCACGCAAGAAGGAAGTTTTTCAAAACAAGAGGGATTTTGACAGCTGTCTCTCTGAGCTAGCTTCTCCTGTGAAAGCCTGTAGCAACATTTGGCTTTGGTGAAAATGCAGCAAGTGTAACATTGGAGAGTTTGAAGTGACAGCAGACATCACAAGGTTGTACAGAAGTATCAGCCTCTGTGGGAACACAAGGAGACAGACGCATAGAATGCAACAGACTCTCAAGTGCCTTGTGGTAACGGAGACAAGACGTACTAATTCTATCTCCTATTCATCCCTTCTGTTTTCAGAAAGTTAAGATGATGGCCAAGTCCCTGTGTGTGAAAGGGCAGGGGAAGGTGAAGCTCTAAATGCTAGAGCTAAGAGCTCAGGACTTTCAGAAAAAGGTATTGGTGTATGCAATTTTCTCTGACTGTTACGGCACTAAAACTGTAAGCCAGCTTGCAGGAGTTTGAACATACGTTTCTTCCTTAGTTCACCAGGCTGGAACATGGCTACATGGACACAGCAAGAAGAGAGGTCAGTGTAGCCCAAACAAAACACGAAAAGAAAATTGCTTTTGGTAGATTAACAAACTGGGCTGGAGCAAATGTCTCCATTACCTCTGTTGTCTGTAGTTGACATTGCATTTTCAAGGTCAGAGGGGAAACATTACCAGTATGTCGTAAGAGAAAAATAGGAAGATTTTTGCTTTTTTATGGAGAAACATTGAGGCAGTCACAAAAAGCATATTGCAACACCAGTCTTCTCAAGAAGGCATGAATAATTCACTTTTAGTATCTTATAATTAATAATTAGTATTGTAATACTGAGTGCATGGCCATTTGCATAATCAGGTGAACACTTCTGTATATAGGTTTTTACTTAAGATATTTTATAAGTCTAGAGGTCTCAGTTTTGGGGAGGGTCACCTACCCAGTCTAACCAAGAGACACATTTCATGGTACTTAATCATTCTTACAGTTCAATAACATTAAAGTGTCCATTTTAACTGTGGTAAAATGGACAGTTACACGTCTGACCATGCAGGACTCCTAGCAAAGTGATCAAGAGAAAGACAGACAGACATGTGCACACTGGAGATTAAAAAAATTGCAGAGAAAAAACATTGTGGAGATTAAAACCATTACGGAGCAAAAGCAAGCATGATCCAACTTCTACATTACAGAGGAATAAAATAAACTTCTGTGCTCCTCTCATCCTCTGCTTCCTTATCTTTGCTTTCTCCCCATTGTTTCTCTTTGTCCAATCTCACAATTTGGAGGAACATCTCCAATTCATTCTTCTTACTACTAAAAAGGGGAAAAAAAAGCAGCTTGTTTTTCAAATAGACGAGAAGTCCCTTAGCTATGTCCATTGAGAAAACATGAGATGTTTTCAGACCTAAAAGTCTGCAAACAAGAAGAGATGAGTTTAAAAAAAAACAAAACAAAACAAAACCCCATCAGTTTACAGTTTTCATATGCATTTTCAGATTCAGAATTGCTTCAGAAAGATTTGATGGTTATCAGAAAACAGGCTGTGCATGTTTATGTGCATGTAGGTGTTACCATTTAATTGAAGACAATTCAAAGCTGAACCTCATGAGCCAGCAAAAGTAATACTGTTGCTACCTCACTATCCCTTCAACTCTCAATACCTAATTGGTTTCAAAATCAGGTTTTGCTCATACCTTGGGGCAGGAGAAAGGACGTCAAAGTGTTTACCTTTCCGTGTTTACTTTGAAAGTTTCACAAGATACCTAGGATGACTCCAAGATTTTCCTACCTGGCTTATTTTTATCCTGGTGTTGCTATTTAGGAAGAAATTATTTTATGATGAAGATGGTGTTTTTACGATCAGGTTGCCCAGGAGGTGGTAGATGCCCCATCCCTGCAAACATTCAAAGTCAGGTTGGATGGGGCTCTGAGCAATGTGATTGAGTTGAAGATGTCCCTGCTCATTTGCAGGGGGTTGGACTAGATGGCCTTTAAAGGTCCCTGTCAACCCAAACTATTCTATGATTTATCTGCACTATCTTTCTAAACGTAGTATTCACAAATTTAAACTTTGCACAGAAAAATAGCATTACTCGAGCAAACTGAAAACTATGTGTTTCCACTCCAATTCCTCTAAAACAGTGGGTTTTTTTTTTTGTGCCACATGGTGTCGGCTTCCTTTATTAACAGGGAATAGGGGAGATGGAGAGAGATTCCTCATCTAGCTGTACACCACAATAGTAAGCACAAGAATAACCTAACTTCCCATCCCCAAAATAACAGCAGAAACTTCACTTTCTCCCTGTATTATTTGTTCCCTACATCGATATTGTTTCTGCATCCCCTGGGTATCTACAGGAATTCGCATTTCCATTGTCCCTTGCTTTTTCCCTACCTGTCACAGACTGAAGCAATGTTGGATTATTTTTCTGGACTAAGAAACAGCAGGAGGATTTGACAACATTCTGCCAGTTACTTTGCATGGAGCCAGATTTGTACACTTTCAGAAGCAGGCTAAGAAATGGGTGATAATTCTAAAGCACGGTAGAGATACAGAGCAAGGCAGAGGGAAGGAAAAAAGGAAGAGGTTGAATGCATGGCCAACTGAAGAGCTCAAAGCTACACCTTGTAGAGAAGGGCTGCAAGTAAGATGACTTACATTGAGATTTTAATTTAGAGAGCAGCAGGTATGAAAATTATAGTGACTGACTGCAAGCAAGCATGGCACAGAAAGGTTTCAACAACAATGGACAGGATCAACAAGCCAACTGATTAAACACTTTCATTGCTGAAAACCAACACAGTTACTCAAAGTGGCTACTGTATGATTCTTTCCATAGTGGCTCATTTTGAGTTCCTTTATTTACTTCCATAATGTTATGCAGTTACAAGGGAACTGGCAGGATGTCTACAGGGATCTTGAGGAACTGATGACTTGTTTAAAAAGAAAAACCAAAACAAAACACCACCAACCAAACAAGAAGCCCACACCCTGACCTTAATTATGTATAATATGATGCTTGATAAAGCCTGGCTGGACTCCCATTTTGCTAAGATTGCTAGAGCCATAGCAAAAGAAACCTACTATTTTTATCACTGAGGAATGGGGGAGGTTTGGCTCTCCCTTTTAGGCTATGCCAGACTCAAGATTTTGTTGACAGAATTCAAGATTAAATAAGGACACAGGTAACAATCAACACTAAAAAAGGCAAAGTTTAATGGTTAGCTACGTAGCATGGGTGAGGCCTCACTTACTATTAAATTTTAGATTAATTAGTTTCATAAAACTTTGTCCAAAGGCAAAGAATATTATGCTT